GCTCCTATTACAGTAACTACCCACCTGAAAATGCCCGAGACAGAGGACCGCAACCCTCCCCGAAGGCCTTAACCACGAACAGACCCTACAAAAACACCCTCTTAGCACCAAAAAAGGCCCTATACACAAATCCTAAACCCCCAACACCCTGCTACCAAACCCTACAAACCCCAAAACGGCCCCAAACCTTCAAACTTCGAGGTTTCAGGGTGTACCGGTGCTCTTTCAAGGCTGTTAGGGTTTGGGGGTTTAGGGGTTTAGGGTGTAGGGTTTAGGGTTGCTAGGGGCTCCGGGCTGCGATGCAGAGTTTCGGCTTGCCGGGTCTATGTGCAGTCTATAGAAATTAGGTCTTATGGGTTTAGGGGTTTGGAGCTTCGGGTTCGGGCGTGGGGGTTAGGACCTTAGGATTCAGGGTTCAGGGCTAAGGGGTTTGGGGTTTATGGGTTTAGATTGCCTCACTTGGAACTCCAATTAAAAGCACCGGCAGGGAACACCTTTATCACGCACAATTAGGATAGGGTTTTGGGGCCCAGTATACTATAATCATAATGAGGAACCCCAAAAACAGTTGTTAGTAATTATTTAGGCCCCTATATCACACTTATCACGCAGGTGCTCTGTGACTCTGTGATGTAGTCGGGCGGCAGCCGATCTGCATGTTCAAGGCGTTACATATCACGGTTGTGGATACAGAAATACCTCGCTTGACTTTGATCGGAAGCGTTGTTGTTGTAAACCGCGATTGACATGGTCGAACGCCCCTTCGGTGTCGAGCTTCGACCCTAAACCCTAAACGTCAAGGGACATCGCGTCTGTCAGCTTCGGCTTATCGGCTTCGGCCTTCTCGGGGATGCTCCCAGAGGCCGTGACGTTTGGAGGTTTCTGCGGGACAGCAACAGGCCAAAAGACCATACGCGCAGGGTTTTTGGATTAGGGTTTAGGGTTTAGGTCAGGGCTACCCAAAACCCTGAACCCTAAACCCTAAACCCCTAGACCCTAAACCGTACAGCTGAGTCAATGACTTATCTACAGCACCTGCATGCAGCGTGGAGCTCGAAGCAGAAGGCACCTCTCAGCCCTGATCTCACCAAGAGTTTGGCCCATGCCCAGCCCAGGGCCACTCCAGTGGTTTAGGGTTTAGGGTTTGGGGTTTGGGGTTTAGCGTTTTAGGGTTTTAGGGTTTTAGGGCTTAGGGTTTAGGGGTTTAGGGGTTTAGGGGTTAAGGGTTTAGGCCCGCCATTCGCGTATCATGTCTCTCAGTCTCGACAGGACGCCTTGCGTGTCAGCGGTGCCACGCCTCCGACCGCAGACCAAGGTGAAGGGTTTGGGGTTTAGGAGTTTAGGAGGGTTTAGGGTTTAGGGTTTAGGGTTTGGGGTTTAGAGGGTTTATCGGGTTCTTCAAGTACTGAAACGCCCTGTTCTTTACAACTTTGGCGAGTACCTTGAGCGAGCAGCTCGACATTTCAGCTAGCTGCAGCACCTTCGGCAAGCCCGCAACCCCATTATTCCTGTTGAGACTCCCCGAAACCCGTAGCAGGCAAACCCTACGCCCTGCACCACCGAAAGCAATGATACCGATCCAGATAAGACGTGATCAGTCCATCTAAGGTAGAACCCATGGGCCCCTGGTGTGGGCCCTGAACCCTGGGACCCTAATATACCGACTATATACCCTATATATACCCTTAAGGGACCCTAGAACCCCCTAAGGTCCCATGTTAGGGGCCCATGGGTTCAACCTTAGAGTCCAGTTGAACAAACCGGACTAGGAAAGGAACCGGCTCATCAGTCTCAGCTGGCATTAGGGTGTAGGGGTGGCTGAGGCCCCAAAGCCTAAACGGCCTAATTAAACCCAAAGCCGTAAACCACAAAGCCCTATAACCCAAATCCAAAATCCCGAACCCTTATTCACAATTCCCTACAACCCCTACACCCTGAACCCTAAGCCTTTAGGGTTTAGGGTTTATAGGGTTTAGGGTTTAGGGTCTAGGGTTTAGCCAAGCCACGGCATCGAAGAGCTCTGTCAAGGCCGATCCTCGAACAAGGCGAGTCTGTGGGGTCGACGCGGTAATGTAGCCAGGACAGAACCCTAAACTCTAAACCCCTAAACCCTAAACTCTGAACCCCTAAACCCTAAACTCTCTCCCCCTAAACCCCTAAACCCCTAAACCCTAAACTCTGAACCCTAAACCCCTAAACCCTAAACCCTAAACTCTGAACCCCTAAACCCTAAATCCAGGACCCCCAAACCCCTTAAAGAGGAGTCCTTATGGTCCATTTCCAGTGGGTATGTAGGGGTATATCACAGGGTAGTGTGGGCCTTCCTAACTGGAAGGGGGTTCCTCGAAAGGGTTTCCTTTAGGGGGTACTGTGAAGGCTACTATGAGGGATTAGTATAGGGCCCTTTTATACTAGTCAGAACATGGATAGTTCTGTAAATTAAGTCCCTACCCCCCAAAATGGACCCTACATGTAAAAACTAGTTACGCATAAGGCTGGTGCACGGGCTTCTCGACCCAAGCACAGGTCCAACATCACAACCAACCTCGGGTAGCAGGTGTGATACGAGTGTTGCAGAATGAAAGGGCCCGAAACCCCAAACAACTCCTAATGTTAACACTGATCTATACGGGGGTTTCCGAAAATAGGGGACCCTGATATAGTACCCTAAATAGTAGGATCCTTATTATAAGGACCCCCAAAACAAGGTACCCCTAACTTTCGGAAACTCCCATACGGTGCTCGAATTTCAGGGCCGCGGCCGACGGTGCAGAAAGTGAGGAAATCTTTCACCGCAACGGCGCTACGCTACACACTACCTGGGTTCTTCGGGATTTACGTAATTTAAGTTACCATAATAGGGATCTATAGAAATGATATGATTTCCGTGTTACTTTAAAGAATCCCTGAGCAAGAACATAGACTATAGTGCCGACCCCTCCATATCCTCCTCCTAGAAAGCCTATACAGCTTATGAACAGTAGGACCCTTGCAATAAAGAAAAGCTCCCCTGAACCATGAACCCAAACCTTACCTACGGGTTGATGATTTAAACCCTGCATTACCCATGAAAAAGAATATACCGTAACTATACCTCCCATAGTTGAGGGTCCTGAAGGCAATGCAGGATTTAGATCATCAGCAGTACCCTAAACCCTAAACCCTAAACCCCTAAACCCTAACCCATATTGTGGACTGCAAGGGTTAGACTGGATAGTACAGCAGTAGTATCATGATCGCTATCATCTCTTGGGGCTCGTAGTCCGAAGGCGACGAGGTTCTCTGGCCTTTTCTTTGGGGGTTCGCCAGTTTTTTCGGCTTCCGTGGAGCGACCTCGCTTAGGGTTTGGGGTGTAGGGTATTCAATATAGGGGTCTTAGTAATTCGAAGTAAATTCTGGGGTACATTATACGATAGATACAAGAGGAAGTATTATAAGCGAGGATTGTAGGGTGTGCCTGTGATTGGCTGTTCTGGAACTTGCGAGGGTTTGGGGTTGAGGGTTTAGGGTTCTGATAGGCCTAACCACCCTGGATAGAGACAGTTTGAGTGTTTGGGGGGGCCTGCATGATGATCCTGTCAGTGGATGTGCAGTCGGTGCTAAAGCATCAAAAAGCTGTTCCCACGGCATGCACATGCTGAATTCTCGAACCTAAAACCTCAACCCGAGAGCCCTAAACCCCAAACCCCAAACAACCACAAGCCCAACACCCCGAAACCGCCAGACCCCCGAAGCATACCAAGTCCTAAACCTTTAAAACCTGCAGCCGATTGAACCACCCACATTCAAAGGAAACTACAGGTGGGGAGTTTAGGGTATATAGGGCTTCTATAAGGCTTCTATAAGGTATATAGACAGGCCTTCTATAAGGCTCCCATAACGGTAACTACCCACCTGAAAATGTCCTAGACCAAATCCATCGTACGGAAACCGAAACCCTAAACCCTAAACCCTAAACCCTTAACAAACTGGGACAGCTCCCGGCCTGTTGCGAGGTCCGGACTCTTAGGGCTGAACCCATCGCCAGCCTGGAGAACCAACTTTACTTGGAGGGTTTGGGGACTTAGTAAGTAGATATCAAGCAAGAGTTATAAGTACCCTAAAAGGGATCCTAATTGGGGTTATGAGACTTATACGTCTAGAAAATAACTAGGTACAATGTCCGCTGACCCTCCAAGTAGGGGCCGTAATACGGGTTTAGGGTTTAGGGGTTCAGGGTCGCGTTTGGGGTTTGCATCGGATTCCACTAAAGGGTTCGTAGGTTCCTTTGAAGGGCTACTGCAAAGGTCAAACATAGGGGGCCTTCAAGTAGTATACTATCACTATAATAAGGAGCCCTAAAGAATCATATCACCAGTTATTCAAGTCTCTATACTCGGATTCCCAGTAGCATTGGAAGAAAAATTAGAAAGGGCACCCTGTTTGGCATCTTAAAATTTATAGTTGTGTAAGGAGTTTGAGGGCGGAGCACTTTTTTTTTT